TTCCTTCAATGATAATATCTTGTATAACTATAGTACAGCTTTACAACCAGGAAATTGACAATTGACACAACCCACTTACCTTTGTCTGGTTTTAGCAGTTTTATATGTATTCATTTGTATGTGTGTATTTAGTTGTATGCAATTTTATCACAAATGTAGATTTGTATAATCACCAGATTAAAAAATTATCTTCATGAACCTGTGGATTTAAAAATATTTTATGGGTTTTATTCACTTGGAATCATGATACCTTTTGAATGTCAGATTTTCCTATTTTGGGGTATTGAGTGCCTCTTTAAGTTCTTGTGAGTTCTGTTTTTCTTCTCTTTTTAAAACGGCTTTATTGAGATGTTTATTATCCCACAGAATTCACCATTTAAGTGCACAGTTTATTCAGCTTTTTCTGGTGCATTTATAGAGTCGTGCAGCCGTCACCACCATCCCAGTGCAAAACATATCCACCAGCCCAAAAGGAACCATGTGCCCATTTGCAGTCCCTCCTCATTCCCACCCCAAGCCTTAAGCAACTGTCCTGAGTCCTTTTGGAGTAACCCTAGTCGTCTTTCAGTGCTTCCTTGCTTTCTGTAATGACCCCCTGGCCTGGAATCAGCCATTTATTTAAGAAACACTAGCACCTTTTAGTAGAAAATAGTATTTCAGGACCCTGTCTAGGTTCTAGGTGTGCTCATTGCCTAAGGTTGGTCATTGTTTTTAGGCCTCTTCAGTGGGCAGAGCTATGATAAAATGCTCTATGAGTTCATACCGATGTTTCTAGGTTAGTGTTTATAACTTAGCCTGTTGTGGTATTACATGTATCTCCTTCCTTCCACATCAAGAATCCTGGTTCTCAAGGACAAAGGGGATGATAGAATCAGAATAACCTATAATAAGTCATTTATTTTTTCCCAGCTCTTATACATGGCAGGTTCAAAATAACAAGACTAATGCTACCATCACCAATGGAATTACTGAGACCAGGTCAAAAAAAAAATAGCTTTTACATTTGCTTTTCCTGTTTCTCTCCCAGTTTTAAAATTGTTGTACTATTTCTGTATTATCAGAGCATGTGTCCATTACATAGAATACTCACTTCCACAAGTAACTATATGTTTAATGCTTTCTATGTTCAATGTCTCTCTAGTCATTTGGATTAATGAAGCTTTTTCTCTACTAGATTCTTAAGGAAATGGTCTTGGGGACAGTATTGCCTAGTTTTTGCATATTGTTGACAGTTTGTCATTGCCCGTTAGACTTTAAAGTCAATTTTGCTGGATATGAAATCTGGTTCACTTTTTTTTTTCTTGAGTATCTTATATATGTTATTTTGTTTTCTCTTGGAATAGGCATTACTGTTGAAAGTCTGATGATAGTCAAATTTTCTTTCCCTTGAAAGCTACTTCTTGTTTCTGCCTAGATACCCAAGGATTTTTTTTTTTTCTTTTTCTTTAGTATCTAGTGATCTTACCAGAATATATCTTGGTGTTTCTTTATGGGTCAGTATTCTCAGGTATGGGATGTGTTCTTTTAATATGTAGCTTCAAAATTTTTTTTTCTAATTTCAGGAAATTTTTCTTAAAGTTTTTGCTATTTTTTTCTGTGCCCTTTTTTTTTT